GTAGAAATTCCCAAGACGTCTTCATATGGGCAAAATCTCACGCAGTTCACATTGCGAGCAGTTCTATGTCGCAAATATGGCTTGAAATCGCCAGAAGTTTCCCTGATATAAAAATAAGTATGTATGAATAAAAGTATTGTATCAAATATTGTAGCAAATTTATTTTATCAGCAAATTACCTATAAACTTCAACTACATTGCCCATTCCAAGTGCAAGCAAACCACGCTGACTGTAAGACATACGATGAGCGGGTGAACGAAGGTGCAAGTGGCTCACCGGCCCTGTTAATTGCCTGACATCCCATATCTTCACAGATTTATCTATAGAACTGGTTGCCATGTAAGTCCCATATGGATGAACGGTACACGTCATAATTGATTGGTGATGGCAAAGCATTTTCGCCAATGGTTTATGAGAGTTTGGAGACCACATAGATACTATTCCTTTCGAGTCGCCCACACATAACACTGCGTTACTTGGATTCTGGGTCATCACCTATAATAATAAATTAAATGGTTGTTGGTAAGCATCTGAGATACAACAATCGGAAATCAACGTAATCTTTAACAAAACTCACAGATATTCTACCCAAATTGGAGTTATAACGAGCAACCTGCTTGCCTATAGATATATCCAACCAAGCCATGTGACCATCCTTTGATCCGCTGGCAAGCAAAAAGTGATATGGCAAAAATTCCAATCTCGTCACACCGTTCATTCTTTTCAGGCAATGTAACTCTATTCCCTGATTGTCGTATACATAAACCCAATCCTTCTGCGCTACCGCAAACATGGTCTCCAGATGCAGCCACGTAACATCATGCACAGACTCCATCACATTTATTTCACAGGCCAGCTTCTTCGTCACCCAGTCAAAAGCTGCCACGTGACCTTGTTTCCCACCTAAGAGCAAGTGTCTACCATTTCTGGTATATCTAAAGCAGTACGGACCAAACTGCAGATCCAGTTTGAAACGTTTAGCCGCACTTGTTATATCCACATTCTCCACTATTTGCTTCTGTCGATACTCAGTAGTGACTTCTCCAGGTTCTGCTTCCATATAGCCATGCTCTTCCGTCAATAGTAACTCCGTCCGAGCAGAAGCTTCCACCTGTTCTTCTATAGCTCGCTCTTTCTGTTTTAGTTTCTCCCTCAGAACTTTATTTTTTATCGCACTTGTCTTTCGTCTTAACTCAAGTCCCGGACCTTTAGAATATTTCGCTAGTACTGTTTTATTAATTGGCACCTTTCCAGAGTGCCTGTTTTTTTTCTTACCAACTGGTGTCTTTTCATGGTATCTCTCTCTTTTGCCCACTAGAAACAACATAAACATAATTTTGAATAATTGAATAATTTTGTAATGCAAGATTTTAAATTACATTTTTCAGACTTAGAAGTTATTTAAAACAAAAATAATTATCTTTTTCTAATTTGAAAAATTGCATTTTTAGAAATTTATTGCATTTATATTTTTTCTGTACACGTGAGTTAACCTAACCATAATATAATCTATATGTATATCATTGATCATGTCAGTGAGAAAGAAAAACAAAAATCCAACAACAAAAATGATTATACTGCTCATACCTGGTGGGTTCATTGTGATTTTTATTGTAATCACGTATTAATCATTAACTTTTGTACTGATCTTGACTGATCTTTCAACAATACGTACACATGCTTCGAAGACGAAGCCAAATTGGTATTTACCACGAGGGCGTTAGTGTACAGTGACATGGAATTCCTTAAGTCCAATTTTCATGAGATTTCCAAAAAGTTTTGCAAAGTTATAACAATTCTTTTTTAAAACGTCAATCAGCATGATTGACAAAATCGACGAAATTGATAGATCTATTTTTTTTTGCTGAACTGGCTGCACTAGTTCAGAATTTATCTTTTTCCTTTTAATGTGTAGAGTAAAAAAAATAAATTCTGAACTATAAGCGTATATAGCCAGTTCAACAAATAGAGAACAGACCCATAATTGCGATAATTTATATAATTATAAAATTCTGCAAAAAAAAAAGTTACTTAAATGTTACAACGACACTTTTAAGACGCCTAATTTCCAGAAATAGAATAATATCATGAACAATTGAACTTTAAACTTAGGAAAAAATTTGAAGAGTTTGTTTAGGGGTTTTATATATAAAATACTCGTTAGAGGAGCAAATCTTTCTCTAATTGATCTGGCAACCCTGTTCGAGGCATTCGTCATAGGTCGATCGTGATTGGAGCATGCGCTGGCACACTCCCGTTCAGCCATTCCGGTTCCCCCCTCTCGCGGTCCGCGCGGGGGTGATTGTCATTCATGATTAGTCGTCAGCGTTTCTGACCCGCGGCGAGCGTTTGTCCGGCGTTCCCCCCAAGTTTCCGCGTATGGTGTCGAATTATACGCGTACCGCGTCGAGAACGGCTAGGCGTTCAGCCGTGAAGTTACGCGCGTCTTTCCCTGGCCGCTCGCGCAGCACTCGGCTCCGTTCGGATTGATCGATCGCGGAGTGAAGTTGGCCGCACGCGGACGACGGAGAGGACCTATTTGGCGCTTTTTTTTTCTCACGGACGCACGATGTCACCCGTCCCGTCTCTCTCCTGATACCCAGCAGCCCAGCCGTCACGATGGAATGTCCACCGTTCTAACGGACGGTAGGTAGAGTCGGGCGAACTTTTAACGATAGAGAAGAGAGGGGAGATAGGAGAGGAAAAAAAAGGGAAAAAGTGTGTTAACGCGCGCGGCAGTGTCCGATGACTCCGATGGTGTCCGAGAAACCGCGTGACAATCGATCGCGGTGATTTTGACGTCGAGTTGCCCGGTGCCGCGAGCCCGATTCGAGATCCGCGCGATCGCGATCGTTTTCCCGGAAGGTGGAAAAGAGACTGAAAGGGGGGGGACGAGTGAAAGAAGAAAAAAAGGGGAACGAAACGCTTGGATGTAACGCGAGCTGCTCCTTCGTGGCGGACATGTCCGACGTAATGGCGTCACGACTGTCTTTTTCGACCGGAGATAAATGCATTCCGCTTCCCTGACTGCCGCAACTGGCCGCAACGGCGGATTCCGGCGACGCCTCTCCTTTACCGTTTCCCCGTTCTCGGGATTTCGCGTGATCTCGCTTTGTTAGACGCCGCCGCGCTATCCTTGACGTTTTTGGACGGAATATCCACGGATATTCGTCAATTCGAGTCTGATATTTTCCAATAAGGTTCAGTATATTTCTCACACACTGGAAAAAAATGGATACATTTGTACTCTAGTTCTAAAGTTTGCTTTCAACTGTACGGATATGCGACGAGTGAACGGTCTAAATCTCGTCGCAGATAATCTCTTAACCGACTTACCTAATAGGTTAATTGGATGTAACCGAGGATCGTTAAATTTCCAATTTGACGATCTTACAACGCGACACACCTGCATTACGGAATTCCTTCGAATATCCTAGCGCGATAGAACAAATTGATTTGCCTAATGGAAGCTATTTGCGTCGCGTTATTGCAATTTCAAGAGATAGAGCTTATGCTCTCGTAATTTGTATGTCAAGTTTGATATTATTTGCGCTATGTGTTTCCGTTTCAGATGGCTGCCTTCTAATACCGATTGCGTCAGTAGTATTCGGTCAGCGGCGCGATTCATCGGCATCGTAACATTGATGAATAGAAGATTTCGCGTAAAGGTCTCTTCTACGTTTTAACGTCCAACTGCGAACTAGCGGTGGAAATGGCAGATGAGTGCAGCGAGGTCAAGTCGGCAGGACCGTCCTCGCCAAGGAGTCCTCAGGGCAGCAGCAACGGTGGGAAGCCGAGTAGCCCGCACTCGCCTAGGCAACCAAGGCGCGTGAAGCTAACTCAGCAACAATTGGACAGCTTGACAAAGGACGAGCTGGCGGCCAAATGGCACGAACAGGACTTGTATGTGGAGTGTCTAGAAGCCCAGGCGGCAGCTCAGGAAGGTACTGAGATCACACGAGTGAGACCACCTCACTCACCACATATCTTAATCGAATTAACGAATGCCAGAACACAACGGTCTTTTGTAAGAGACAAGACTCTCGTAGAGACGCTAAGCGTAGGGTTCATTAGATCAGTGTTCAGGATACTATTATTAAGTTGTCTATTAGATTTAAGGTAGCGAGAGAGAGAGAGAGAGTTTTAGTAAATAAGTATTCCAGGTATAATTGTAGGAAACTACTTCTTTATCGCTCTATGAGAGAGCTTAGTTCACGTGCGATCAGATTATCTTAATGTATCTGCACAAAAAAGTACTAGAGAGATTAAATATGGAATTGAGATACAATGTTGCGCTTCATATATACGATATAGTGATTATATTAATATATTAATTTCCAAAACTACATTTGTGATGTGTGTATAGTGCGGGTAATTAAAGATTCATATGTATCGTGACATAAAGCGATATATCTCAAGGTATTTGTGAGCACGGGTGGAGTGACAGCCACATATATGACGTACAAAAAAGGAATACGTTTAGTCCAAATTCTCTTGTGAGCAATTACATTATCAGCCATAAAGAGCATGGTTAGCGAGTAATAGTGAAAATGGCTGAGGTAACAAGTGCTTATGTGTGTCAACAAGCAAAGATTTCTCTGCCAAAAATGTGTCTGCCATGCATCGATGTTGTGAAAGGCACAGCCTTGCTCAGAATGTCATTTTTTCACAAGTGCCCTGTGCAGTGTATCGCGTATATCTCTGCGGTGTAAATAATTTATACTGCCAAATGCAGGAGAGTGTGTGCCGTGCGTGATAAATTCGAAATACCGAGTTTCTAGTTAACGGAGGATGAGATGAAAAGCAGCGTTTGATATGATGGCGCTGAATTTATGGCTCAGAGGAATAATAAGAGTGGATCCGTGTCACCGTTTGGCCTACAAATTACTGCACCTGGGGTGCGTGAAATTTAAATCTCGGTGAAGTACGCAACCACATTCGTCGTTACCAATTGGAACGCTACATGACCCAATCCCATCATCTGTCCTCTCCCTTCTCGTCTGGTCTACGTATCCTTACATATATTATCTTGTCCTCGAACTGTTCTTCCAATTAGAGATAATGCAATTTTTAATTAACTGTATTCCTAGACCAATTATCCTACTACATATTCTTACTACGAATGCAACTTGTGCATGCATTTATACCTGCACCATAATATCCTGGTATCAGATATGAATTTCAAAAGTACATACCTGTGGGTTAACCCGGCCAGCGTCTCGTTACAACATCTGTGCCTGCAACAAGTACACGCTTGATTCTTGCGGAAGAAAAATAACGTCCACTCTTGGTCTTGGTCGAAGTACAGAGAGTCTCACAAATGGCACGTCGCAACGACACCAAAAATCAAAGTATGCGCCAATTAACAATGTCAGTTGTCAGGCAGTCATAGTCACGTACTTACAAAAGTATATTGTTTATTTATGCGCACTTAGGTTAAAATTATAAATAGTAATTTTTCACCAGTATACTTGATTCCATCAAAAACTCTGTTGATATATTATATATACAAATTATACAGAATGTTTTATACAATTACAGTCCGAGGTTTCAAATATTTAATACGATTCATAAATTTTTATTCTTAATTTATTTATAAAATAAATTAGAAAACAGAAAATATAGAAAAAGTTATTTATAATTATAGAAAGAAAATTCTTGAATATATTGTTATAAAAATTTTACAGTAGAATAAAGTATATATGCTAACATTTCTTCCAAATAATAAGTTTTATTCATTAATTAGCTTTGAAAAACTAAAAATGCAACGGAACAAACTTTTATATTTTTGTTGAAATCAATATATATGCAGAGAAATATGATATACAGAAATTATGTTATTCTTTTCTAATCTTTTAATACACTTCATAAAAATAATTCTAAATCCTTGCATATAAATATTGCTCACTTAAATCAGAAATCACATAGGTACTGGACTTTTATATTTGCATTTTTAATCTATATGTTCAAATATTAAAAGATAAAATTTATATAAAACATCTTTTAAATTTTGAAAAAAGAAAATATAATTTAATTGCTTGTTAGATATTGAAGAAACAAAACCAACTTGCAGGCTTAAAATAGTTCAAAAACTGATATGCGCGCGCGCGTATGTGTGTATGTATTACATCTCCCATGAAATACATATTCCATAATTTCGCTGTAATTATTTTAACATATGGCGAATAACTTTGCTATTTTACAAGAAATATTTTTCTTGTAAGATATAAATATATACATATATCACAAATATATATATATATATATATATATGTAATTACTATTGCAATTTTAAGAAACACAGATACCATTGAATGTTGAAGGTCTAGAAGTAGAAAAATTTATAGACTATTCCTTTATAGGTGAACTAACTTCATTGAGAGAATCCGAAAACAAATACAGACAACAATATATAGAAGCATCTCACAGGGAGAAGATCTTAGTAAGGAGGCTTGCCTCTAAAGAACAGGAATTGCAAGAGTATATTGTATGTAACTATTCTCAGATACATCGAAATTCTAGTACAATTTATCTCGTAAGATTTATTTCTAAACGACTCTATAAAAAAAAGGCTTATTTTTTTCATTATTAGAATCAAATAACTGAAATGAAAGCCACCCAAGCTCCGTCCGCAGCTGCATTAAGGTCCGCTCTATTAGATCCGGCTGTTAATATATTGATACAGAAATTAAGGCAAGAGTTAATAACGACCAAGGGCAAATTGGAGGATACACAGAATGAACTAAGCGCGTGGAAGTTTACCCCGGATAGGTGATAAAAGCTTTATACGTTAAATAAGAAACTGCACGACACAAATTTTTACTAATTAAATATTTTATTTACAGTAATACGGGGAAAAGGTTAATGGCAAAATGTAGATTGTTATATCAGGAAAATGAAGAACTTGGTCGTATGATTGCCAGTGGACGTATTGCTAAATTGGAAGGCGAGCTTGCTCTGCAAAAGAGTTTCAGTGAAGAAGTGAAAAAGTCACAATCAGGTATCTTATTAGATATTCACTGATTTACAATTGAAATCTACGTTCGAAACATTTCAAATATAACTCATACATTTTCTTTTAATTTGTCTTTTGCAGAATTAGACGAGTTTCTGCAAGATTTAGATGAGGACGTGGAGGGTATGCAGAGCACCATTTACTTTTTACAACAAGAACTACGCAAGGCTCGAGAGTCGGTCACGCTACTGCAACAGGAGAATTCAGCATTGAAGGCGAATACAAACGACAATAATTTATCCAACGGTTTGTCGCCCCATACGCCACCGATTAAGAAAGAGGAACCGGAAGAAACCGCTGTACCAGATACGAAAGTTCCAAAACCGATGGAGGACAGTGATATGTGCAAAGGTGTAAGGACTCCACCGTTAACGTCGCCCCAGAGTGAGCTTACCAGTGTCGAAAGAACAGAACGTGCAGAGAGAAAACTTAATCAAGCCGATCATAATGACGAGAGTTCTAGCGACTCCGCGGCGTTAATTATTAAGGTTGAAAACGAGGAACTTAGTGATAGGGAGGAGGAGCAGGAGGAGAATCGGAACAAGCGATTGTTAAGGAGTAAAAATCACAGTAGGAATAGTGGTAAATCGAACGGGGAGGAGGTGATAACGCGAACAACGCGGGGTAGGGACAGGACAAAGAGGGAGAAAAGTGCAGCCAGTAGTGATGATGAAAGGACGCACAAGAAGAAACGGAGGGAGAGTATTCTTTCTCTCGATTATAACGAGGCCGATGACGACGCGTTAGTTTTAACCAATGGCGAGACTCTGCAGAGTGATCCGGAATGAACGATTATTTTAGGTTGACTTTGGACGACACTAATAACCACACGTGATTGAAATTCGCGATATATTTGATTTGACATCCCCGTTACTATTGTGTATAAAATTTTTCATCTAAAGCAACGCCGGCTATTTACAAGATGAATTGGTCGAATAAATAAATAATTAGCCATAAAGAAACGTAATTTCAGTACCTGTATTCGTGATAAACTGCAAAGGATGAATATTCGCATTGGTCTAAAAAAAAAATAAGCCTGTAAATACTCTTATACCATTAGATTGATATATAAAGTTCACGTTTACGTCGAGTTACTTGCAAATGACCAAGTTGCGTATTACATTGCAAAGATATATCAGACGAGAAATCTGAATAGGTTTAATATAATTTATTACAGCCAAACGCGCTGTAAGGAAAACCAGAACAATCGAGTTTTGTTTGTATTTTGTAAATTTATTGTATTAAAACTCTATACAAAAACCAGCACAGGCTTTAGTTAATCAGTAAAAGGAACGGATGATTCGAAAGATATTGTCAAGAATAAAAAATAAACGCCTGATTAATATTAGATAAATAAATTATAATGCTTTCAGAAAAAGAAAAAGAAATGCAGTGTGAGATTTTCGCATGATTCTGTACGTAACGGTCCGATGTGTACATATGTATTCTTGTGCAATGTGAGACATGTATCGATCCCACTGTACAATGTGCGTTTTGCTTTTATTGAACAATTGGAAACCATACATAAAGCAAATGACATAAAATACACAACGTTAGTCTTAGCGATGCAAATGGATTGATCTCACAGACTGATACATTAAACTTACATTTTTAATTTTCTCTAAACTAAACTAAACTTGTATAGCGTTTGATATATTTTATATTATCTGTATATGCAGATTTGTTTCGTATCGCGTCCCTCGGAAAGATTTGCGCTTTCAATTTCGTTCGCGGTCTACGTTGTGAGGAAAAAAATAGAGGATATCGAAAGTTGCATCGAAAAGAATGTTACGAGATATATATATATATATATACGCATGAGATACGTTCCATCCCCAAATTTTCCATACAGTGCCATTATTATTCTTGTCTAGATATCGATGCTACAATAACTTTTGAATTACGAGCGACGCCGCGACGTAAAGTAAAGCCTTTTCTTACGCACATTTTGCAATCGAAGCATATGGTGTCTTCTTTTCTTTAAATAATTTAAGGGCGATTGAAAGCAACTTGTATTTCGATGAGAGTCCAATGAAATTTTTACACGTCCGCCTTTTCGCTTACGCGATGTAGAACGTTCGCTAATTTACACACTCACCGCTGAAGTATGCTAACATGAATTGTGAATCTTCAACTGCAAGACATGATCATTAAAGGATTCCTTATTCAGACTGAAGATGTTAATTTCCTTCCATTCCATACTTGGCATTTAATATAATATATGATTGCGTGGCAAAGAAGCGCTGCATCGAAGAAATAGAGAAGAAAATTTAACAATTTCAAGGACAATCTTTAATCAACAGGGTTGAAAGGTAAATAAATTCAATATCAAATTTAATATAGTATATATTTAAAAGTTCAATTTGAAAAACAAGGAGATATTGCCGCCGGCGATACTCGATCGATCGATTTGGAATTGGAACACACCGATGGGCAAACTTCAGGTTTCCGTCCGGGAACGGCACTTCGGCGCAAAAACCGTCTATAATCCTATATACGCAAATTTCCATTCGCGACGTCGGTATCGCAGCGAACTCGGCGTCCTCGGTGAACAGTTTGAGCAGGCTCGCGTGTGAATCGCTGGCGTTTCGCAACGGGTGGTGGTGGTGTAGAACTGTGTAGATTGCATATGTGTGTAGAACCGTAAGCACGGAACCACGGGCAACCGCAAGTAGAAAACTTGGACAAATCCTTGGAAAAGGTAGAATCGCAGCTACCCGAAGAACAGACAGTTCACCCCTCGCCTCGATCATGCTCGCAGCAAGGCGCGCTTTAATCTCCAGCACGATGTAAGCGTAAAACGATAGCCGCCTCGGCGAATCCGCTCTGCTGTTTTCGCATTATGTAATTTCTAACCTGGCACGCGACCACTCGACATATTTATAATGATATTTTCGGGATGTATCTATAGCTACAATTACCGTGCTCTTGCTCGGAATCGTTTGATGAGCCGACGTTAATAATTTATGTAAAATCATCGTGTAAAAAATGTGTCAGTACTTTTGTTGTGCTTTTCGTATACCAACGCAGAACTGGCACAACAGCTGATCCGCGAATTGTCAAAGGAAATGAACTATTTTTGTTTTTTATTTTAGAACTTTTGCCTCGGGATTTTTTTGATTAGAAATACAGTTTTATTTTTCCAAAATTTGCAAACAAATAATTTAATTGCCAGAACGTTATTTCGCGAGATATATATTTTTACTGTTTTTTTTTCTTGTAAAGAGTACTTCCAACCGGTAGAGTTATCTCGCACACCTTTACATTTAGATTATTTTTTTTTGCTACCTTTATGTTATATTATTCTTCATAATCGATCATCTAGATTTTAGAAATAAAAATCGTTTTCTGTAAACTTATATAGCGGTAATCAAAATTATACCGCCTAATTATAATTATAAATATTATATTGCGGTTTAATTAAAATTATATCACTTTTAATGTCTATAAATAAAGGAAATCGCAGAAAAATTATACACATTAGCTTTTAAACAGAAAACAGAACTTTTCAAATTGGAAACAACGGGGCAAATGTTTTTATTTTACTCATACGTATTATATTTTATATATTAATTATATTATTTTACTTATTAGTTTTTTTACTTTATAATACACACAATAATTTAATCTATAAATGTTTTCTTTTCGGTGACTGATGCAGCAAGGATGTCTTCGCGAGGTCGAAGCATTCACTTCCGGATCTGCCGTACGACTACAAGGCTCTGGAACCGATTATATCCAGCGAGATCATGGAGCTTCATCATTCCAAGCATCATGCTACCTACGTTAACAATTTGAACGTAGCCGAGGAGAAAATGCGGGAGGCAGTCGCAAAAGGCGACGTCAATACACAAATCGCCCTGGGCCCAGCTATCAAGTTCAACGGCGGTGGTCATCTTAATCATTCGATCTTCTGGTGCAACCTCTCGCCCAATGGTAGCAATCCGGATGGTAATATCGAGAAACAAGTGGATTAAACTCTTTCTCACACAATTGATTAGACTCTCCAGTTCATAAAAGGATTATCTGCATAATATTCAAGTCAATTTAAAGCAATTAAAAAATGATTCTTATAAAACTTTATGTTTACAAAGTTTGGATAAGAGTGCACGATGAAGATTGGGATTTTATTAAGACTCAGTCAGTGTTTAACGACAATGTTACTTGATCTTATTCTCATTAATTGCATCTCACAAGCTTCACAAGGTATATAATCACCATCAATGTCTACCACACGTGGTCCAATTAACCTGGATTCCAAAATTTTCAAACTTATATAAGCTACGAAGTTAAAATAAAAAAACAAACAAACAAAAAAGCACTTGACAAATAAGAAAGACATAGAAATCAAAGAATTTTATATTTCTTGAGATTAAGAGAAGAGAAAGAGATCATCAATAAATGTAAATAATTTTTAATAAATATATGTAGATCTTCTTGTGGTAAAAAATCTATGCATATATGTGAAAAACAATTAGATATAAAAATACTTTTTAATTCGCGTAATGTCAATCATAAGATAATAATTGTAGTTCATATATTATAATTGTAATTTGCGTAGATGGATGATATATTACGTTTTATTTTTTTTTTCTTAGCTGCCCTTGCGCAACAAATCAGCAAAGACTTCGGCAGTTTAGAGGAAATGAAGAAACGCTTGTCCGAGATGACCGTGGCGATTCAGGGCTCTGGCTGGGGTTGGCTCGGTTACGATCAGAAAGCCAAGTCGCTGAGGCTAGCGACCTGTGCGAATCAAGATCCCCTGCAAGCCACGACCGGTCTCGTTCCTCTCTTCGGCATCGACGTGTGGGAACACGCCTATTATTTGCAATATAAGAACGTGCGACCCGTTTACGTGCAAGCAATCTTCGACATCATTAACTGGCAGGATATAAACGCACGCTTCAAAAGCGCCACTAGTTGTTAAGGGGGTTAAGTCTGTTTAGCATTTAAGTCTGTTTTTCAGATATTGAAATGTCGCTTAGAGTGACACTTTTACTAGGACCAATAGATATCATCGGGAACTTTTGACGCACTTAATTCGCCTGTGATTTCATATGCTTTTCTTTTTCTACGCTGTATCCGAAGTGACTACAATCGAATGACGAGTAAAATGTAAAAAGTACAAGAATGTAAAGGTACACTTATTTAGAACCTTATCCTTAACATAAAACGAAAGTCTGTTTTTATCTTACAATTAATAGTGATAAATAAAAGAGACATGCAGCTCCAAAACTATCGATTTGTACGATTTGGTGGGTTTTGACGTCTATATATTCCTTACCAGAGAAGGCAATAGAAAACCATTATTATTACTTTTCGATCACTATACAAAGAAACCTAAAACAAATAGGCCTCTAGTTTCAGGCAGCCTTTTGGTGGACAAGTCATAGAACAGAAGTCTGTCTGGAATAATCGCCAACATCAGAAGGACTTGATTAGCATACTGAAGAAAAATCAATAAATGCGTAATCATTTCTTTCCACTCGCACATGATTCCTTTTAAAACATATACATTTTTAAAATAATATTGTTAACTTTACGCTTTTTTTAAACTGTAACACTACAATCAGAATCTATGAGCGTTATTGATAGGAGTTAACATGTGTAAGAATTGCAAGAATTTATTTTTTACTTTTATTTGACAGGAAACTGAGCGAAAAGTATACAGGTGGAAATAAATGAAAGATATTGAACATTTTTCCTGTCCAAATGGATTAGACCCGAAGATTATAAGACTTATACGAAATAATCAATTATATTATTATCAGATTAAACTATGAAAAAATATGTTGGTATTCAATAATTTATTGCATATATACAAGATTGATTAATAACAAGATAAATAATTAAATATAATGCGCGTGAAAGACAGAGATTCAAAAGATAAGGTGTCAGCAAGACTGCAACTATGCCACTTACATGAAATTAAAAATATAGTATTTATAACATAATAAAATGGACAGAATAAAAGTAAGACGTAAGATAGATAGACATATTTTATTATTGGAGCAAATTAATCTTTTGCAAATCAACAGGCATTTCATTGTTTACTGTTTACATTACGTAAATCAAGAAATAAAAAATTCCTTTAATCAATAGAGTAATAAATTCTTTAATAAATTTTTTATTTTTATCGCGCGTTCCAGATTTCCGGATACAAGTGCAGTACAACAATTCCCACAAAGACAGCAATGTGTTTCGAAGATCGAACAGATCGTGGGAGAGACGGGCCGTCTAGGAGTGACACTTGCCGAGTTCCGATAAATCACTTGACCGCGGTGAAAAACAAGGTTATGTTTGGGAAATCGCCAGGCTATGATTCATCTGGCTTTCCAGGAAGCGAAACGGAGAGAGCAAAAACGCGTTATCTGCGCGTGTGCGCGAGAGCGAGATCGTGATCTTTATCCTCTCGTCACGAAGAGCGAGCGGGCTCGGGACTCTTCTCGGGAGGCGAGAACGCGCAGGTCCTCCGCGGTCGTCGCGAGTTGAAGCTTAGGCGCACGCGAACGAGCACACTGGAGCTCACGGAACCCGTTCGCAGCAACGTTCGTCGCGGACGACGCGAAGAGCGCGAAGAGCGACGTGGGGCCGTGAGGCGTCAGGCGAGAGGGCAGGCGTTCACGGGCCGGAGCTTCGAGCGCGCGCGAGACTACGATAATCGATCGCGGGCGTCGGATAAGTCGGGCAAACCGAGTGGCGTCGCGACGCACGGCACAGTGCACACAGCGTGCTCACGCTCGGCGCTCTCGCCGCTTCCGCGGAACGTATCGTCGTCGTCGTCGTCGTCGGTGCTCGGAGCCAGTATGGCCGTAGGACCTCAGCTGTTTTCACGTCACTGCCTTCTTCGTATCTGGTGAGTCGCCTCGACACCGGAGCTCTCTTCTCTCTTTATTTCTTTTTCTTTTGTCTCGTTCGCGTCTACCACTCGCGCCAACTTCTCGCCTCCCTCTCTCTTCCCCTCCCCCCCCTCTCTCTCTGTCTTTCTCTCTCTCGTCGCGCGCGCGAAAACGAGCGTGCGTGCATGCGTGCGTGCGTGCGTTGGCGATCGCGCGGCTTTACGAGCGTCGCGCGAACGGCCTCGTAAGTGCAACATCGTGCGGCCGCGACGGACGATCATTTATTTAAACGGCCGACCCCGACGTCGTTATCGATAGGTGTGCACAAAGGCACAAAGGCGTCTCGAGTGTGTCTCTCGAGTTCGGGGGGCAAACGTCGGAGACAAATCCGCGTGAATCTCGAGACTGTACGAAAGATTTTTGTTTCTTAATTTGAAAATGAAGCGTGTCGCGCGGCTTGTCTTACTCGATCATCGAGGTCTCCGTCATGTCCGATCGAACAAATTCGTGCGAATTAAAATTCTCGGTAGTCGGAGGCGCGTGAAACTGGAGGGGAATTTTCGCGAAACGTCAAGCCGAGCTACCGCGCGATCGAAATCGTCGCCCGAAATCGCGGTACCTATTTCGTATTTGTACCGATTATCTCGGGTCTCGCGTTAAGTTCACACTTGGTTGATCAGGAAAGCAAATTTCTCCTTGCCAGTAAGCCGTCACTTGCGACTTTGCGACTAAAAGCTGGTCGGAAGGTGGTCGATCAGCCTGCATGGGTTCTCGTGCACTTTCTCGAATGTTGCCGAGCCACTCGCGTTGCATCAGGGGTTGAAACGTAAGGGTTGAAATACTTGAGATATATATCTCAACGAGAGAGATATTTAAATATATGACTCGGCGATAAATCTGTTATCTATTGACGCAGTTATATACTCGGGACGGATATTTATTTACGCTTCTTGTGCTTTATTCTTTAACCCTAGAATCCATGACTGGGGTCGATTTCGACCCCAGGCGAACTTTGAACTACGCTCCTGAGCTAGCGAGTGACATTATCGACTCAGGACCTGAACCATAATTCATTTCAACTTTCTAAAAGTAGGGTTATGTCGGGCGCAGCGTTAGTTGTTCGCTAGCAGTGAAGTAGCACAGTCGTAAAGCGGGCGTGGGGTCGATATCGACCCCAGTCGTGACTTGCCGTTTGAGTTTCGTCACGGTAAGCTAATTTTATTTTTTCGCTAGAATCAATATATATCATGTATTATTACGTAATCTGAGCATAAATAGTCATAAATATTATTTAAGACGAAATATCACACAATTTAGTCGGTAAAAATCCCGTTGCCTAAGAAGATTGACATTTCGCAGAAAATGGCTGGGCGATATAATGTTTCATTTTTTTCATATTTTTTACTATTTTGTATCAAATAAAAATGAAATAATACTTAAAATACAATTTTTTATGGTTTTTTCATCGACTTTTTCCGTATTTCAACTTTGCGAATTTCTTCATCTTTATAGTCCCAAATAAATATACTTTTTGAACAGAACATAGCGATGACAATTTTTTTCTAATAGTCTAATGTGTCCTCTTTAAAACCCCGTTTGAAATTTTAAAATCGGTTGATTACAAAAAAAGATACAAATTTTTGTTTAAAAAAAGAGGTTTTTGCTGATTTTCTGCGTTTTTCAGTCTTTAAATGGATTTTTCACTAACTAAACTTGAGTAAAATTAAATTTACCGTATACCATTCTCTTCGTTATTAAAAAACGAAGAAATTCATGTAGGTTTAAAGGCCCTTTATTTCTGTAGGACCGGTTTTACGATCAAATAAAGCGTGGGGTCGATATTGCCCCCAGTCATGGATTAGAAGGTCAAAAAAATGTATCATGGATTCTAGGGTTAATTATTCGCATATCTGAGATATTTTGCGTGTCGACGTGGTATGGTCGACAATCCAGATGGAATGAATGGAAAAGGAAGAGAATTAAAGGGCGGAGAAAGGGCCTTTATATTATTTTTATCGGATAATGCGAGAAGGAAAAAATGAAAGAAATAGTTTGACATTTACGAGAAATTGAAAAAACGAAGTCCTGGTTAATGTCATTGTATAGGATTTCTCATCAGTTTTATTCCCTCCCTACGTCCGCCATCTGACTGACTGCTTTTTATAAAATTATTGACGTTTTTGTCATTTATCTCGATGGATAAAGTCTTTTTATGTTAGAAGGAAATTCTAAAAAAAAATACATTTAACATTACATGTAATTATACATTAAAAACATGCAATTTATTGTTTGCAGGTTAGTAATATTAAGTTTTTTCTTATCTCTCCATATCTACACGTAGGAGATAATCTTGGAATAAAAATTCGGGGGCAACAACCATATGCGCTTCAGTGCATTTTTCATTAAATTCTCAATGGGTTCTGAATCAGACTTTCTGATTTAATGAATAGAATAATTGCGAAATTTCGAGGGGTAATCGATTAGTCACAGAGATTCGATTACATTTTAATTGTTTTTCCAGACCAGACGTTGGAAAATATCGAACAGCCGAGCGTTGAATGTGCGCACACTCGAATTACGATTCGTAATTTCTATGTTTGAAAATTGTCCTTTCTAGTTATTGTATAAAGATAATGTCTTATCTTTTTCAGGCCCTTTTCGTTAAGGGGGGAAAACATGCTGATGGCGCAAATATTTATACTTTTTAACGATTTTTTTTACAATATATTCAATATATGTTCTTTAAAGAAATAAAAAACCAATTTTATTAAATTTATTATTTTACGCGGAAAAAAATTCACGAAAAATAGAATCTTTTTCCTTTGCCGTTACACAGTGGTTTCTCCCTTAAACTTGAAAAGTGCGTTTATTTCCAATTCAATCTATACGATTTAAAAAACTAAATGGCACTTTGACGTCTCTATCGAGATAGAAAATCTGAATTTTAAATGGGAAAAAAAAAATCTGAACTTCAAATTCGTTTGAAAATCTCGTTGACATCAATTCGCGATCAATCTATCACGTCATTCTCGTCGTGCCTCGACCCGCCCGTCACAGATCGTCATAGAGAGAGAGAGAGAGAGAGTACCCCCCCGGATTGACTGAAGCGAAATGGCATAAGGTATAACGATTTCACTCGTGGAACACAAGGGTGGGCGGTGCACAAAGGGGATTGAAGGGTTCGAAGGTTACGACGAGCCGTAGGTAACGTTTCGCCGACATAAACGAAGTGCGAGGACTTGCGAGGACTAGGGTAGGGTAGGTCAGTAGTGATCAACGTTTCGAATATCGTGACTGCTAATTTGTTGACCGATACTTCGATGAGATAATTTCTGAGCTCGCGTAACGGCGATGGGAACGTTCGCCGATTTGCTCTCCGAATAGCGCGATTCTCGC